AGGATGGAAAAATATGTACCAGGAAACTACTAGCCAAAATAAAGTGATATTATTGTATTAATAACTGACAAAAATCAATATTTAGGCAAAATGCTTACAAGAGTTTAAAAGGTCACTTTATAGTGAAAAAGTTTCAACTTTATAAAAATTCTAAACCATATATCCCTAATAATATAATCTCAATGTACATTAAACACAAGTTTGACAAAACTATAAACAAAAATTGAAAAGTCCATTATCATAATGAGACATTTTAAAACAACTCTCTCAGTAAATGTTAGGAAATACAGTCCCCCCAAAAAATCTATAAAATGTAGAAAATTTGAGCACTGCATGATCTAACTGACATGTATTAGACATTACATCTAAACTTGTATATCTTCTTTATATGTACATAGAGCAATGAAAAAGTGCTAAGCTAAAAAGCTGGCCTCAATTAATATCAAGGGATTGGGGTCATTCAGATCACTTTTTGTTATTACAATGCAATTTAATGAGAAATCAATAACAAAAATATAACTAGGAAACCCAACAGGTTTGGAAACTATTTTCTTAAAATCAGTGTAGAAACTAGAAAATAAGTAGAACTTAAAGACAATAAAAAATACGTTACAAAAAACCTGTGGAATTGCACTAGAAGGGCATTTAAAAATTTCTATACTTAGAAAACAAGAAAGGGTAAGAATTTCTCTTTTTAAATTTTATTTAATTATTTATGTATTTTATTAATATAGAGAATATGTTTTTATTATATTTTATTAATTTATTTATTATATTTTATTAATATAGAGAATAATTTATTAATATAGAGAATATGTAGAGAATATGTTTATTAATATAGAGAATATGTTGCCTAGGCTGGTCTCCAACTCCTGAGTCAAGTGATCCTCCTACCTCAGCCTCCCAAAGTGTTGGGATTACAGGCATGAGAGGGTAATTACAGGTGGGTGAATTGCAAGCTCAGGAGTTCGAGACCAGCCTGACCAACATGGTGAACCCTCATCTCACTAAAAATACAAAAACTAGCCAGGCGTGGTGGTGCGCACCTGTAATCCCAGCTACTCAAGAAGCGGAGGCAGGAGAATTGCTTGAACCTGGGAGGCGGAGATTGCAGTGAGCCAAGATCACGCCACTGCACTCCAGCCTGGGCGACAGAGTGAGACTCTGCCTCCCCACCCCCCAAAAAAAGATTAATAGTAAAGTATCTCCTGGCAAATAAAACTGAAGGTCCAGCCAGTTCTTTACAAGAGTTATACCAAACTTTCCAGCAAAGAGATTACCCCAATATTATTGGAATAGAATAGGAAAAATAAGGAACAGTTACATCTCCTAAAAGCCATAGCTATAAAATTCTAGAGAACAATATAGGAGCACTCCCGTGACCTGAAGAGAGAGAAGGATTCCTTAAACAAGATGCAAAATGTGTTCCATTATAATGGAGAAAGTAGCTGAAAATCCACCCATATTAAAATGGAGAATTTAGATTGGCGTAATCACTTTGGAAATATTTTGACAATATTTAGTAAATTTAAACATTCATGTATTCTGCAAACCTACATTTTATTCTTATGTGTATACCCTTAAAAGACTTGTGTGCATCTGAAGATGTATAAGAATGAGCATAAAAACATCATTCTAATCATGAAAACTAGAAACAATGCAAATGTCCAATTACAGTAACAAGAATATATAAAGTGTAGCAGCAGATTCCCACAGTGGAATATTATTTATCAGTGAAAAGGAATAAACGACTGCTACATGAAGACACATGGGAGTCTCAAAAGCATAAAAAACAATCTCAAAAGATTGTTTCTCTGTGGCCATGAGAAACAATCACAGAAGACTTTATACAGTATGATTTCCTGTGTGTAAAGCCTTTAGATAAATGAAACAGTCAAAACTAAAAACACAATCTGGGATGCATGCACATCATATTTTGTTGATGCTAAGCCATGTCTCTTTTTTTGACATTTCAAACACTTTTCAAAATTGAGATTCATTTTGTAACCAAAATTTTGTAACCAAACCATTCATTTTGTGAGTCTCTTTCTTAGAGTTGAAATAATAATGTATCTTACAATGCTGGGAACTTAAGTTCAATGAAATATGGTAGGAAGTAGAACTATAAAGAAAAGCAAGAGAATGATTAACATAAAATTTGGGACACCTATGATTACGTATGTCTGGGAGGGAGGAGGCTACGGGAAGGAAGGGGAAGCAAGGAGAATTCTATATACTGACAATGGGCTATTTTTCACCGAGGTACAGTATATTGGTGGTATTATTATTATTATTATTATTATTATTATTATTATTATTTTGAGGCAGGGTCTCACTCTGTTGCCCAGGCTGGAGTGCAGTGGCACAATCTCGGCTCACTGCAACCTCCGCCTCCCAGGTTCAAGCTATTCTTCCACCTCAGCCTCCCCGAGTAGCTGGGACTACAGGAGTGCACCATTACGCTTGGCTAATTTTTTGTATTTTTGGTAGAGATGGGGCTTTGTCATGTTGGACAGGCTGGTCTCACACTCCTGGCCTCATGTGGCCCCACCCCCGCCTCAGCCTCCCAAAGTGCTGGGATTACGAATGTGAGCCACCGCGCCCAGCCTGCTTTGTTATTATTCTTTAAATAGGTTAGTTTCTCACATGTATAAATATATTTCACAATTTTTTAAAAAAAGAGTGAATGAGGCGAGTAGGTGGAGACACACATATAGTAACTCAGGAAGCTGGACAGTAAAGGGGAGAAAAGAGTGAGGCAGCCATTGCGGGAGGATGTGGAGGAAACTACAGGAAATAAATGGAAAGACTGAAGAGCTGGGAGGCATCCAAGCTATCACATGCGGAGAAATTGGCCCTTCAGGGAGATACCTTCTATATTTTAGCAAGAGGGACAAAGGGGAGAATGGGCTTACAGAATTTGCAGTGAAATTTTCTCATGTTTCCCCTGTGATGGTTTATATTTTCTTTACAAAGAATTTATCTATGGGCTGGTATAGTTACCAGGAATGGCAGAGATGGGCAAATGGCATGAGGGGGTAGGCATCTAAAAGGAAAACGTGTGTTCAGCAGTTATCCCATGCCAGGTACTCAACTAAGAGCTTTTTGCATCCATCATTCCATTTGTTGCTCTCATTAACACTACAGGGTATATATTCTTTCATGATGTCTGTAACAGTTTCCTAGGGCCATAGGAAAATAACAAAATCCCACAGACCAGGTGACTTAAATAACAGAAATGTATTTTCTCCCAGTTCTGGAGGCTTGTGATCCAAGAGCAGGTGTGGGCAGGTTGGTTTCTCCTGAGGCCTTTCTCCTTAGTCTGTGGGTGGCTGCCCTCTGCACGTGCACATCCCTGGCATTTCCCTGTGTGCTTAATCTCCTCTCCTTTAAGGACATCCATCAGACTGAATCAGCTAAAGTCCTCATTTTAACTTAATCACCTCTTTAAATACAGTCACATTCTGAGGTGCTGGGGGTTGGAGTTTGAACTTATGAATTGTGGGCGACACAATTCTGGCCATCACAATGCCCATTTGGAGAGAAGGATCTAGAGACACAGAAAGGTCAAACAGCTTGCAGCTCCTCAGCACCAGAACTGGGATGCAGACGCAGGCAGGTCAACTGCGGTGACTGAACACCAACCATTCTTCCACACATCTAGTTTTGGGCCTGGAAGAGTGAAGGCGGATGGAAAGGTCTTTTGGAGAATTAAAAAAAAAAAAAAAAAAAAAAAAAAAAAAACACCAAAAAAAACCCAGAACAGAATAAAGGAATAATATTCTCAGGCTTTTCTGAGTTGTGCAATCTGTCCCAGGAAACAGAATGGAGCTGAATGCTCCAGGAGCCAGGATGGACGGTCCTCTCATAGGCTCCCTTTTAAAATCTGGGCTTTAAGGAGAAAGATGTAAATCTCGGCTAAAACGGCAGGAAAGCTCAACAACTTAGCATGAGCTGAAATCCACTAATCCCTGCTCTGGAGGGACCAGGTGTAAATTATGGGTTGAGAAGGGTGACACCTGCTGGGCACCGAGGACAAGAATAGGTGGGACCTGGCTCCCGTCATGTGTGGTCCCTTGCTGCCCTCTTCTGGCAACAATTGGGAATACGCAGGAAGCTGCGGGTAGCCCTACTTCCTCCAAAACCCACAAATCTCCTGGGAAAGACGGAAAGAATCTACTGGAATCAGACCGTGGCGCATGTCAGTTCCTCCCTCTCCACACACATACACACATATTACAGTCAATTTTCACTTTTTAGCATTCTGTGACTGTGTAGCTGTTTTAAAAGTTGCTTAAGATGGATTTTTTTGTTTTGTTTTTTTGCTTTTTTTTTTTTTTTTTTTTTTTTTGAGACAAGAGTCTCGCTCTGTCTCCCACTCTAAAGTGCAGTGGCGCAATCTCGGCTCACTACAAGCTCCGCCTCCCGGGTACAAGCGATTCTCCTGCCTCATCCTCCCTAGTAGCTGGGATTACAGGGGCACACCACCACGCCTGGCTAATTTTTGCATTTTTAGTAGAGACGGGATTTCACCATGTTGGCCAGGCTGGTCTCCAACTCCTGGCCTCAAAGGATCCGCCCACTTAGGCCTCCCAAAGTGCTGGGATTACAGGCGTCAGCCACCCTGCCCAGCCAAGGTTAAATTTAAAAACTTATTACATTTGCCACCTTTTCAAAGATGATGTTTCTTAAGATACAAGAATATGAGAATTAAAATACAAGTTTTGATGATTTAACAAAATGCTAGTTTGTTCATCATTTCATATGCTCTTTTTTTATTTTTAATTTTTTTAGAGACAGGATCTCCCTCCCGGTGACTCCGTCACCCAGGCTGGAGTGCAGTGGTACGATCAAAGTTCACTGCAGCCTCAAACTCCTGCTCTCTATCCTCTCATCTCAGCCTCCTAAGCACCATATCTGGCTTATTTTTAAATTTTTTGTAGAGATGGGATGTCAGTGTCTGGCTCTGTTGCCCAGGCTGGTCTTGAATTCCTGGTCTCAAGTGACCCTCCTGTCTCAGCCTCCCACAGAGCTGGGATTACAGGCATGAGCCACTGCACCAGGCCTTTATGTTTTCAAAAATTGTAAACTCATTGTTGGTTCGGAAATACTTGTTTTCAATATTTTAAAAATCATTATTTGTTATGCGATAGCCTAGGGACCCCACCATTTGGTTACAGTACTTTTGAAAAATAATCATTTTTATTTTCAAATGTGAATTTTTCATCAAAACAAAACCAGTAGCTCATGTTTTAGAAATTTATCTTTGGTGTAGATATTTGGGCAAAAACATTCCGAAGTAATACAGGAGCCCCTTGAGTTGAGAAGCATTACGTAAACGCCAGAAAAAAACCATTGATCTCACCGAGAACTCCTAGAATTCCTGATCAGGTGTGCCACACAGAACTTGCTGCCTTGTGGGCCTCTGTGAAATTCCAAATGGGTGGCTCAAGAGCTCCTGGCTCATGTGTGAGTCCCCAGACCTTCTTCATGTAGTTACCAGAACAATTGTTTAAAATGCAGTCAGATGGTGATACTCCTCTGCTTCTGGAGAGGTCAAATGTCACCCCTTTGATCTTAGAATAAAATACTGATTCCTTCCTGGCTTTACAAGGCCAGGTGCTCTGACTCATGCCAGCTCCGCCAGGGCTGCCTTTGGTCACTTTTCCTTCCCCTTCAGCTATTTGCATTTTCATCCTTTGAGGGCCTTTCTGTGGACTCTACTTCAACATTCTGTTTATTTCCTTCAGAGCATTTGCTTCCATCTGTAATAACTGTGCATGTTTATCCGTTGTTCATTTCTTGTCTCCACCATTAGGTGGCATCCCCAGGGGGAGGTCCTCATCCACTTTGCTCTTTGCTGTGTTCCCAGTGCCTAATGAGCATTATTTGTCAATGAGTGAGTGAGTGAACGAAGTGAGCAAAGGAACACAATGAGTGGTGACAGACACCTAAGGTCACTCCATGCAGATCATAGTACTAGGTTATTTACATAAATATATAAGGAAGTTCCATCCATGGCCCATGGCCTGGGAAGCAAAGAGAGGGCTACGGTTGGGATCAGGCCAACAGCTGTGCTTTCATCTTTGACTTAAACTTGTCATCAAAACCACTCCCCTCCCTGCTTAGAGAATACCAGGGAAGTAGACAGCACCTCAGGAGCCACTGACCCACATGCTAAGGAAACTGGAGGGCAGCAAGGAAGCACAGGCTCACTAACTCAACAGGTGCAATTTTGCGTCAGTGCTGTGGGTACCGATTCAGGATGCAAACACCAGCTGCTCAACCAACCAGGAACACTTTGTGTTGATCCAATGTCTTCCCCTTGAAAAGGTGCCAGCACAGTCTCATAGACACACAGCCCTGCTCAGAAGGACGTTAACATTCCCATTTTACAAATGGCAGGAGAATGCACCCATGATCGGTGGGCTGGGCACAGTGTTGGCCAGCAGGCTCATGTCTTCCAGGGGTTCTGTCTCCATCTTCACTGTGAGACAATCAGATTCTGAACAAGGGAAACTAAGTCCAGAACTGTCACCAGTTCCAAATGTGTGCCTGAGGAAGCCTGATGAGAGCCGTCTCCAGGAGAGGTAGCTAGGGTGGAAATGCTTGCTGGGCTCCAGGGAGGCCTGGGCCAGACAGCCTGGGGCACAGTTTCCTCCCTCCCTGCTGAAGTGTTACTGGTTTGATGTAATTTCCGCTGCCATTCATGGCCTTTCTCCTAGGCAGGATCCTGGCACCTGACTGAGGAACCATCCAAAGAACAAGGTTAAGCCAGAATAAAATGTCCAAGAGCCTCCCAGGCTGGGGCAGCCATCAGGGCGGGCTGATCTGGGGCTTCTTCAGGAAGGTGGCCAGTTTTTGGGCCACAGCGTCCAGTTCGATCGGGTTGGTGCACTGAAAGAGGTTGCTGTTCCGGACGAAATAGTGTTTCAGGAAGTGCTGGCTCACGCACTTGTGCAATTTCCTCACCAGGCGCAGAAACGCTTTGCTGAAGACCTTCCAGTCTTTAAAGTGGGGATATTTCTCGCAGGTCCAAAAGAGCACAGTCTGTGGAAGGAAGAAGTGCTGTCAGACATTGTTTCAGGCAATTGAGGAGGATATCTGGGAAACAATTATTGAGTTTATGTGGCCTTGGAAGGAGGCAGAAAAGAGTTGCCTGGGCAGACTGCATCTACCATGAATTCATAATCCCCAACTTCAGGTGGGCCTTCAGTTTACAAGTTGGTCTCCCGCACCTCTTCCCTAATCTCCTCCAACATTTCCAGTCTTCACCACTCCAGGCAATGTCTTTGCCTCCTACTTTATGGAGAAAATGGAACCCCTCATCCTCCCAAACCAGACAGATCTTGCCTACTGCAGCACCCTCCTTTCTTCCTCCCTGCTTCTGCCTCTTCTGCCTGTGGGGCTGATCCCTCCACAGGGTCCCGGATGCCATCTTCCAGGAACTGTATATGACGGATTACCCTCTTCCTCAACTGCTTTTCACAAGTTGAAAGCTCTCCTGCCACCCCAATGCCACGTCTGCCTCCTGCCCTCACTCTTCCCTCTGCAAATCCAGGTTTCTCCAGAGTCAGCTCTATTGTTTGTTGTCATTTCCTCTCCTCCCATTTCTCGCCTCAGTCCGCTCCAAGATGGATTCTTCTCTCATTAATCCTCAAAGACTCCTCTCTTCAAGGCCCAGTGATCTCCGTGTTTCTAAATCCAACAGGCCTTTGTCAGCCTGCACCTTACCTGACCTTTCAGCAGACCTGGTTCTCTCGCCCACACCCTCCCTCCTGAGCCATCCTTCACTTGACTTCCAAGCAATCTACTCTCTGGGTTTTCTCCTAGCATTACAGTGCCTCCTTGGCAGGCTTCTACTCCTTGGCCTGCCTTTGAGAGGTGGAGTTTCTGGAGGCTTAGTTCTAGGCCCTCTTCTCCTCTCACTGTACATTCATTCCTCAGCTCTGTGTTCCCTCCACAACAGCAGCTCTAATTCTTACTACAAATGAATGACTTGCAAATTTGTGTCTCCAGCCCAGACTTCTCCTCTGACCTCCTTACCGTGTATCTCTTGAGTATCTGAAAGTTATCTCAGTCCCAACACGTCCAAACTGAACCCCTGCTCTTCCTGCACAAACCTGATCTGCCTCCAGAGTTGCTTAACTAGCTAGTTGTGCAACATGCAAACCTAGGAGTCATCCTTCTCCCTTACGGCCCCCAGTCAAGTCCTGCAATCCTCTTGCCTGAGTATTTCTCGAGTCTACCCATTTAACTTCACCTCAAGCATTATTCTACCATCCCCCTCCACACTGCCTCCACATCTCACTGGACCTCTGCAGTAGCCATCTCATCAGCCCATCCCTGTTCTTGCCACCATCCAAACTATCGCCATCCACACTGCTGCCAATATACATCTACTTCCCTTCTCATCTAAAATACTTTAAGCTCTTCCCATTGTTTGTTAGCTAAAAACATCATGCTTAACATGGTGTGGTTTATAAGGTTTGGTCCCTGCCTTCCTTTCCAGACGCATCTTGACCCACATCCTCCCTTGCTCTCTTCATGTAGCCACACCAGCCGTTTCATGCTCCATTCTACCGCAGGGCCTTTGCACCTCCTGCTTCAGCTGCATAGGACAAACTTCTTTCCCTTCTTTGTCCATCAGATCAAATTTCCCTAGTACAGCCACTGCACACTCTCTTAGCCATGTACTTCTCATAAGAAGCAGTGACAACTGTAGTAGTTTTTATATTTATGTGATTAATTGTATCATTTCCCCCACTGGATTATAAACTTTATGAGAACAGTGAATGATGCCTATTTTTATTCACTATTAAGCTATCCAGTACCCCGCAGAGGCTAGCCCATGAGAGGAAGTCAATAAACATTTATTGAATAAGTGAATTAATGAATTCATGTTATGGTTTAGATATTGATTATTTTTATACAGTCTTTATTTTTTAGAGCAGTTGTAAGTTCATAGCAACTATGTATTTAGATTATATGAGTATGAATAAATGAGTTAGAGATAATTTCATGCAAGTGAAGATAACCTAGATACCAGAAAAAAATGTTAATTCCTCTTGTTAATTAAGTTTTTATCGTCCTAAGCAAACTGGGGCAGTTAAGCTCATTATAAGCAAGCCAATGTACTTTGAGTGGGTTTTAGGAATAAATAAGTCAATAAAAGATAAGCTTTTCCTTCACATGAAACAGTCTTGGGGCAGAGCCTTTCTGACAGTGTAAGATAGTGTCAGACTTAAGGTGAGGCGAGGCTGAGTGCCACAGCTTCCTAATGCTGTTTTGCAACCCAGCCTCTTCCACTTTCCCCAGAATGAAGACTTGGCAAGGATCCAGCACACTCAAGTCATCATCTGGGATGGTGTCTAACACCACATTTGTCACCAACCACATTCATTTCAAGGGTGAGGATGCCTAAATGGGAGATAAATCTGTCTGTGGACTAAGGATGGAAGACCAGAGAAAAAGGCAGTTAGCACTTTCTGTTTATCTTACTCCAGAAATAGCCCCCTTAAAAAAAAATGCCCATCCTTGATGTTGCCCAATTCTATTGTGCCATGCAGGTGGGTCAGGGAGGACTGAAACAGAGAATCCTTAAGGAGTTGCCTTAAAATCCACTAGGTGACTTAGGAACTATCAGAATAAAAGTCAGCCCTTGTGGGGAGTACAGATTTGCAAGCAGCTATGGGTTGGGAGATCCATGGTGGTCCCATTCAATCATGCCTGAAATATTCATGTCACTGAATGGTATTTCCATCCATCTTAATTGAGAGGTAATGAAGTCAATCGTTAAGGTTATGAGGTTTTGATATGAGATAGACTTGAGTTTGTGTCTCAGCTCTGCCTCTTCTAGTGTGGGCTGTATAAAGGAAAGCAAGAGAAGCTAAATCTACGGAACAAATCAAAGTATCTTCTGCAAGCACATGCCCTCCATCCAGGAGAACAGCCTATGTGTTCTTAGGGGAGTGTGCTTGGGACACGTTGAGAACATTGGAACTCCAGAGAAAAGCCCCAGTGCATGTGAATGAGATGTTAACAGATTCTTCCGCAAGTCACAATGGATAGGTTATCAGAAAGATAAGACAGTGAAGCAAAGATTAGTGATTTTGTGCAAAAGGAAGAGAAAAGTTGAGCAAGATGTGAAGCCACTCATTCATTTGCTCTACAAATATTTAATGTGCTGCTATGTACAAAGCATTGGGAGAGATACTGGGGGTATTATTCATCCTTCTCCCAGTGGACAAGAGCACTGAGTAAGGTCAGCATGCTAGCTGGACAAGACCAATGTGGTATCTGTCTTTCAAGAAGTTACTTTAGAGCAGATGGAGTAACATGGGGCAGAAGAGAGCTTTGTCTATCGAATGAGAGGAGGAACAGGTATGTGAGGAAGGCACCTCACAGATAGGTGACTGCCCCAGGGACCTGTGCTTGCCTGAGTGGAAAGGCAGTCCATCCTTTCTGGGGCCAGAGAGGAGGGCTGAAGCTCCTAGATCCACACTAGCTAGGCTGGCTGGGGTGTCCTGCAAGAGTCTCCTACCTCCCTACCCCAGCAGGCTGCACAGAACTGCCACATGAGAGTCCACTTCACTCTGTGTGGTCCACAATTTGAGAAAGAGGGAGTCAAGAGGGTGGTCAAAGGCCCCCTTTCCAAGGAGGCCCCCCAACTGGCCAGTCCAGGTCAGGCTCTGCTGCTCTGAGCCTTCACAGAGCCATGCTCCTCCCATTCCAGTGCTTCCTCACTGTGTGACTGTACATGCACCCACTGGCTTGCCTTACCCATGTCTATCTCCCATGCTAGACCAGAAGTGACAGAGTGAGGAACCACATCTGTGTCTGTTCACCTTTGTGCCGGCAGGGGTTGAGCCCACAGCAGGTACTGGGGCAGGCCTCTGGCCCAGAGTAATCTCAATAGACACTTGCTGAATGAGTGAGTGAAGGCATGAATGGATGTTACTGTTGGGTTTAGGGCAAGGAGAGGCAGGTGCTGGCAGAGCAAGGGAAAATCCTTGCCTGGTGATTTGGACCCTAGAAAGAGGTGTGTGGCAGTACGTGTGTGGTAACCTTTGTGTTGCATTTCCTGGTTCCCTCTGTGTTAGTGGGTCTGTGTGCATGAGGAGTTGTGCTTAGGCTGCAGTGGGTTCTAAGACTGGCACAAACATAAAGCCATCAAAGTGTGAGGTGCAAATCCCATTTTGTAATTTATTTCTGAACCTCAGCAGGGTTTCCGGCACCTAGTGGGCACTCAGGTTGGTTTGGTGGTAAAATAAAAGTGAGAGGGGAGGAAAGGTGGGAGAGAAGAGAATTGGAAAAGGGAAGGAAGGGAGGAAATTTTACCCTGGACAGGGGTGTTGTGGACTCCCATATGGTGCTAGCTTACATATTTCCATAATAAGTAGGCATTTGTTGGATGGCCAATGTAGATACTAGAGCCTCATTTTTCACACATGCCAGCCCTACTGAGTGGCTCTGGCCAGGCCCTAAAGAGGCCACAGGGAGAATGATCTATCCAAAGCTGCCCCTGGACCTTCTCCCACCTGCCCTACACTCACCTGCAGATGGTGGGACGTGATGACCGGCCTGTTCCCTGGGCACCAGATGTCCTCCTTCAGCTGCCTCATGACCTGAAAACACTTCCTACGGCAGCCCCCATCCTCATCCAGCTGTTCTAGCAACACCTGCTCAGCACGGAGGAAGCTCAGCTGCCAGTGATAATTTGAACAGGGCAACAAGTTAAACCCAAACGACTGGAAGAAAGAGAAAAACATTGGGAAATGAGAAGAACAATGCTCACTGGTGTAGAAAGCCATTTCTGAAGCAGTCTGCTGGTCTGGGGAACTTTTCACCAGGCAGACAGCACATCCTATGTGGGGATGAAAAGGGCATGTCAGGGAGACCACAAGCCACTTTGGATATGGACAGTTAGAAGGTGGTACCCACTTCCTCTCCTGCAGCAGTTCTCCAACTTGAGCATGCATCAGAATCACATCACCCGGAGGGCTTCTTAAAACACATATTGCTGGGCCCTGTTCAAGGGTGTCATTCAGCAGGTCCAGAGTGGGGGCCCGGGAAGCTGCATTTCTAACAAGTTCTCAGGTGACGCTGGTGCAGAGCCCACACTTTGAGAACTACTGATCTAGTGACACCTCAACTTTCCTTTGAAACTCTTTGGCAGTCGGTAATGCTGTGACTGGTTAAGCTGTTGGTAACACTGCTCTGGAGAGCTGGGTCCCGCCCACTGATACCTTGATGCACTCCACTCTCTCTTGGGAAGGCCAGCGCTGCAGACATCGAGGCCACCGGGCTTTCTCGGACCAGGTGGTGGGGATCTCCACCGTGGGAGCCAGCTCCAATTCCACCTGATATGCAGATGTTTCCACAGCAACCCAAACTGCAGAGCGGTTTCCTAGCATGCTGACCTTACCTGATAGGAAATGACCAAATGGATAAGGAGAAGAGAAAGGCTTGCACATTACAAGCGTTCAAACAAGAAATTTGTGAGCAGTTGCTCTGATCAGCACCTTGCAACTGGTGTGGCAACTTTCACAATGTCTGTAGCACATCAAAGATCACAATGTCTGTAGCAAGTCAAGGATCACAATGCCTGTAGCAAGTCAAGGTTGTGACATCAAAACCAGATGGTTAGTCGCCTAGCCAGCGTCAGAGCATTACTAAGAAGTCTCATTGCTAGTGGGTTTCTCTTTCTCCCCCAATCCCAAGGCTTTTGTGCTACCTTTTCTTTTAAATTAATAGATTATTTTCAAGAGGCTCAACTGAAAGTAAAAGCCATAGAATAAAAAGAAAAAGTGTAGTACATATGCTCCTTGACTTACGATGGGGTCACATCCCAATAAAGCTGAAAATATTGTAAATTGAAAATGTATTAATACACCGAACCTACCAAACATCATAACTTAGCCTAGCCTACCTTCAATGTGCTCAGAACACTTACATTAACTTACAGTTGGACAAAATCATCTAACACAAAGCCTATTTTATAATAAAGTGTTGAATATCTCATGAAATTCATTGAATGGTTGTATGGGTACTTGAAGTACAGGTTCTACTAAACATGTATCATTTTTGCACCCTTGTAAAGTAAAAAAAATCATATGTTGAGCCATGGCAAGTTGGGGACTGTCTGTATTTGCTACTGTAAAATGAAACCTAACTATTTTTCTATATCCTTCTCCATTCCACCCAAATATCTAAATGTTGGTTTTTGAGAGTAATGCAAACATAGGGAAGGCTAATGCCATTTTTTTTTTTCCTTCTTCACCTAGATGTTCTGACACTGGCTGGGGACAATATCAGCGTCCTTATTTATTCATATGCCTTTGGTGAATTTCGGCTTCACCTGTCTTTTATCTAGGCCTCAGTCTCTTAGATGGTATTTGTTTTTACCATCCACTCAGCTTGCCGAGCCTCAGAGGTCTCTTTCATCAGAAACCCCTGTAACCACAAAATACATCAAAGCACGTCACAGCCACTGTTTCAGAGGACTGAGTGATTTGAAAGAAGCCGCCATTGCCTCATTTTCCTACCAGGAAAAGAGAAGAAGAGAAAACTATGCATCTAGTAGTTTTCCAGCTCACATACTATAATTTCCTCATTTCCAATTTGCTCTTTCTTCTTTCAAAAGATACAGTTTTTGTTTGTTTGTTTGCCTTCATTGCAGATAAAGATAAGCAGTCTTGAATAGATCAGGATCTATTCATCCTTATTTGTTCATTCCAATTTTTGAAATAGATCAGAATCTATTATTTTGCATTTCCTTGCACACAGAAGAAAATGGAAGCACATTAATTGTGTTAGGCTTTTCAAAATGGTAACATTCCCTGGCCGAGGTGGGATAAAGGGCTTGTTGTCTGCATGTCATCAGAACTGCCCAGACAGGAACATGACAACTGGCACTTTAGCATTATTTACTAAAAGCGTCTCATCAACCTTGCCCAGTCTGAATCTCTGCTTTGCACTTTTGCTATGAATAATGTCGCACAGCATAAGAGGTGAGTCGATGCTGCAGCCAGCCCACTGGCCCCCACCCTGCTCTGCAGCTGACTCTGCTTACGAGGTGTGCAACCTTCAGAAGTGACTTAATCTCTCTAAGTCTCAGTTTCTCATCCCTAAAACAGGTAGGAAAAGAATTCTTACTGTATTGTGTGGTTATGAGGATTAAATTAAATAACCCATGAAACTTACTCTACTTAGTAAAAAATCTATTAAACATAAATTATTACCATTATGGAAATTTTCAGAACTATTCTGTCTAGACAAGCAAATGTATGTATGAATACATCCTTTTATTTTCACACAGATGGAATCTCATATTATTTGGCAGTTGGTTTTTCACTTAGCTATCTAGCCCATGCATTTTTCATAGCTCTGTAGGTATGCATGGGCATATGCCTGTTCTTTTGTAAGGCTGCATAGTAGTCCAGTAGGCAGAGACAGCATAATTTAAGTTAGCCAGTTTTCCTTTATTAGCCATTTAGATTACTTCTATTTACTATTATAAAATCTATGGCAGAGAATATCCTGGTGCATATTTCTTTGTGTATTTGTAGAATATATTTGTAGAATTTAATATATTTATATATATTTATTTATATATTATATACTGTAATTAATATATATAATATATTACATATTATATATAATTTATATAATATATGTAATATATAATATATATTTATATACAAAATAAATATTTATAAATCTATAAATATATTTGTAGAATTTAATTTGTAGAAATATATTTCTAGAACTGGAATTGTTGAATTGTCAAGTGAGCACATTATGAAAATAAAATATAGACAACTTTCTCTTTAAAAAGGAGACACCAATTTCCACTTCTAATAACAACACAAAAATACCCATTTCACTATGCCCACTCGACACTAAGCATGATCAAACTTTTCATTTCTTTTAACTTGTTAGGTATTTTAATGTACCCAACATGAGGTATATTCTAATATATGTTGAAATATACATTAGATGGAATGTCTTTTCTTATTTTTGCAAGCCATTTGTACTCTTTTTCTGTGATTCCTTTTTTTTTTTTTTGGATAATTATTTCTATTGGTCAGCTCATCTTTTTTCTTATTGGTTTATAAATTAAGAAAATTTGTATTTTCCTAATTATATAATTAAGAAAATTGGCCATTTCTTTCCAGTTTGAAATTCACCTTTTCACTTTGTGTGAACAAAAAGGGTGTGTGTGGGGGGGGGGGCGCATATGCTGTACAGTAGCTTAAGACTTTGTCAAATTTAGTCAGTTCTTTTGGCTCCTGGATTTTCTGTTTTGGTTCAAGTTAGTGGTTTCCAAATGTGGAATCTCAGCACACTGTGGTACTGCAGTCAGATGGAGGTGCTGCAGTAAAAATGTACTAATAAAGAAGACCTGGGGTTTGTGAATAATTTGCTTTTAAAACAAATATGCTTAAGTTTTTAAGCCTGGTTAAGGTGCATAATCCACAGCATTTTATATCTATGCCAGCACAGTAACTTTCTCAAAGCCACAACACTATTTTGTTAGAATGAATTCCAACCTTCTGTGCATCAACGGCAGGGGAAAAAAGCTGATTCATCTTATTAAGATTAAATAAATGTGAAGAGCACATGATTATCTTCTCAAATGTAGGCTGTGAGCTGCAGGTAACACCGAAACAGAGGTTTTGTAGAGTGAAAGGGGAATGTCAGCAATTACCCTTGCACTTGTTCCTGATCAGCTCACCTGAGAGGTGACAGGTTCTAATTGCATTTTCCACCAGCTTCCGGAACACCAGGAGGACCTTAGCGGGCACAATGTCTCCGTCGATGTTCACGTCTGTCTCATGCCACTGCCACAGGCTCTTCATAAACTGTTCCACCTCCAGCCACTGCTGCAGACCCTCAGGGTCCCGCAACGGGCAGGGCAGCCTGGTGCCCTGCAGGGTGTAGTACCGCCAGCGCTGCTCCCTGGCCTCCCTGTACCCAGCCAGGCCTTTTATTGGGACTGTGACAAGGAACTGACTGGGGGCCAAAACCTAGGGTCAGGAAAGGATTGAAAACAAGCATGAATTCACAGATTCGGGAGGTAACGGAAGTCCTGGGAGCCGACCTGTCTCGCCAGGCAACTCTCTTAACCACTCCACCCTCAGCAGTGTGACCAGATACACAGAGACATAGACCTGGGTGTCACAAGTGGATTACCTCTTTGTTCTGCTACTGAATCACTGTAAATACTTTGGGCAAGTACATTAGCTCGCTGAGTTTATTATCTTATGACTATACAAGTAAAGACAGTGAGCTAGACCAGGAACTCCAGAGGAGGCCTAAAGTTTGAGAAAGAAGCATGAGTATGCATTGAGTTCCCTGCAGTCGCGACACTGCAATTCTAATGCATTTGACCATTTCAACTTCACAATCACACAGTAAGGTGAGCTTTGTTGCCATTTTCCAGATGAGGAATCCAAGATGCAGAAGAGCTTGGAGATCTCCCCAGGGACACACAGCCAGTAAGGAGAAGAGTCAGAACTCGAGTTTAGGTCTTTGGACAGCTTGTTCAGTTATTATTTCTCTACCCTGGGCTGGCACTCAGCCAACAATGAATGACATGGAATGGTGAATGTTTTGACACAAATAAAAGGTGGGAAGTAACAGGAAGGGAGTTTGAAAGATTTTGTAAAATGTCTCCTATTTTTGGGTTGGGGGGGCCTGTACTAATGACCCATGGTCAGTGTTCATGACTAACCCTTCCAAAATCAAAGGCAAAATGAAAGCTTATTGGTTGAGACAATGTGAGCTGTTGAGATAATTCTAAGTTTAAAGAACAAAAAGCAAACAATCAGAATCCACCTAATCCCTTTCTCCAGGAACCAGTGACGCAATGACTGGGGGAAAGCAGGCAGACCAGCAGCCAAGAGATAGAACAAGTGGGTAAACAGAGCAGCCAAAGGAGCCTGAACTCTGACCATGTCCCACTTCACACACACCTTCAGCTGTGAGTCAGCTGCCTCCTCCTCACGGAAAGCTCTGACCATGGAATTTGGTTAACTCTTGCCCAGGGCCAGTCATTGACCCATTGAGGGGGTGAATGTCCTAATGAGCCCCAGCTGGATCTGCCTAACTCTAAGAAAACAATAGTTTGATGTTTTAGATGATGTATCCACATGACTTCTGGTACCCACAGAAAGGTAGCTGGATTTAAAAAGAGGAAAAAAACATCCAAAGTCCCTGGAATTTCAGATCTGTACATTATTTCAATTCACTTTCATGTGACTTCAAAAGCAGAACTATCATGTTGTTAGTCATGTAAGTGGTGCTTAGTAAATATTTGTTGAGCAGCCTGGGCAATATGACGAAATCCATCTCTACAAAATAAAAAAATAAAAATAAAATTAGCCAGGCATGGTGGCATTTGCACCTGTAGTCCCAGCTGCTCAGGTGACTGAGGTGGGAAATCACTTAAGCCTGGGAGGTTGAGGCTGCCGTAAGCCATGATCTCGCCACTGCACTCCAGCCTGGGTGACAGAATGAGACCCTATCTTTAAAAAACAAACACAAAAAAACTTGTTGAATTTGATCTAAGTTAAAAGCAATTTTATATGCTATGCTGTAGCTATTTTTGAAACTTAATATGTAAGACATGACATATATAAATGCAAGATATATTTTAAGCTATGAATTCTAAGTAGGACCACGGAAGGAAATTTCCCTGGATGTAGTGCTAAGAGAAGTAATGTAATATCTCTATTTCCAGTCACTGTGACCAAGTTAGATTGGCCTGGGTGGGAGAGTTGGGCAAGTGATGCTCTAGCATTCCAGGATTCAATCTAGTTTTATATTTTTCACCCTGGGATTAATTTCCTACAATCTGACTGTGTTTCAAAATCCACAAATCCCAGCATCTCTTGGGTGGTTCTTGCATCCACCAAACTTGAGATGTAATAGGCCAGCAATGGTCTTTTGCTCAGGTACTAATTCTTTTGCTCATTCATTTATGCATTCATTCCACATATGTTAAGTGTCTACCATGTGCCACACACCATGGTGGGTGCTAGGAGCAAAACAATCGGTAAACATGGTCCTTACAATCACGGGATGTGCAGTCTGTTGTGAGAAATGGGCCACGAGTACATACAAATTTAACACAAAGTGAAAGAGGTATGTGGCATAATAAAAATCAAGATAAAGAATGATGGAGATTCAGAATGATTCAGAATCTCACTTCTCTCACCTCTAAAACTGAAATAACCAGAGTGTCTTTTCCGCAAGGTGGTTTACAGGTTTAAGTGAGATCGTTTCTGCGTGTTCAGCTCTGCCCTCACTACCATGTTGCTTGAATGCTGGTGTTACCCATTGGCTTACACTGGGTGGGATTCCTCAGCAGGAGAGGGGTTGCCAGTCTGCTCCTGCAGCTTCTCAGTGGCACCTCTTCTACTTTCTTCCTTCCCCATCTGCAACCCACAGACTATGATTTTCAATGGTCTTCTTATGGATGCCCTCAGTTCCCTCTACCACACCTCCAATCTATTAAGTAGGTGCTTAATAAATGAATGTGTATTTAACTGAGCTTTGATTGTGACAGCAGAATGTGCTTTGGAATCAAAAGCTTCTGTGTGAGTTCTGGCTTTAGTGCCTGATATGACTTGATCAAGTCATTTGACTTCTCTAAGCCTAGTTTTTCTCATCTAGGAATGTGGGGGCTCAAAGGAAATAACATCTATCTTTTTTCCTTTTTCTAAAGAGACAGAGTCTCACTGCATTGCCCAGGTTGGTCTCAAACTCTTGGCCTCAAGCAATCCTCCCGCCTTGGCCTCCCAAAGTGCTGGGATTATAGGCATAAGCCACGCCACTGGCTGAAACGACATGCATAAAATGAGACTGTAAATAGTAAAAACTAAGAGTACCTGTGAAAACAAGAATTGTTATGAGTATTCTGAGTGAGGCAAGCATCTGTCACACACTGAGATTCACCTGCCCAAGTATCCTGGCTCTGTTGGTGGCACTTAGAGACAGTGAGACTTGCTTACCTTAATATTTTCATTGTATGTGTCAGAGTAAGGCACAGTTTGAAATCTAATGTCTTGGTTGCTGATGTTTGTGGTCAAATGATGAACGACTTTCTGCACCTCCTCCATAGCCTGGGAAATCTGCTGGCGCCTCAAGTCCACCTGGGTGTGAGAAGGACCAGCAAAGGTGGTTATTTCCTCTGTGGGCCCCAAGGCACTGGCATAAGATAGTGAGGAGACAAGGGTACAGCGAGGGGTGACCGAGGGAGTTCAGCTCAAAAATTCTGCCTTCCCAAGACGTCGGGGAGATGGACTTAGGTCTGACTCCACTGAGAAGACATTGGTTGGTGCCTCAATGTTCTTTTCTGTAACAGATGCATTCATTTGATATTTATCTAGGACCTACTATGTAGCAGGTGCCAGGCCAGGTGCTGGGGACACAACAGTGATTAAGACAACAGTGAACAATGTAGATACTTGCCCTCTAGCTGAAAATATAGGAATTCATGTAGATATAATACATAATATATAATTATAATATATAATATCAATATTATAATATATAGCATCATACCTGATATTATACACACACAGACACACATATAAATGTGTGTATATATATGTATTCCTGTATATATATATGTGTGTGTGTGTATGTGTATGTATATGTGTTTGTATATGTGTATATGTCATAATATCAGGTATAAGTCCCTGGAAGAAAAATAAAATATGATAAGGGACTAGAGAATAAAGGGGCAGCTATTTTAGTTAGGGTGGACAATGGACAAAGAATACTTGTCTAAAGAGGTGATATTTGAGTGAGGCTGAAGACAGCTTAGGAGAGCAGATTCCATGCTCCTCCTCTGACGTAGGCAATGCTCTAAGGCTAGCAGCGAGGCCACTGTGGTTGGATCCGGCAAAAGGAAAGTGATAGGAGGTGAGTTGGGAAAGGAAAGCAGGGGCCAGATCATCACACAGGGTTTTGTGAACCATAGTGAGACTCTACCATGGTATCGTCATGCCAGCTGCCCATAGTGTGAATATTAAACTGCTTAACATGTATCAGCACCCAGCAGCCTGCTTCCCACTGATGTCATCAGTAAATGATGATTCTCTTTGCCTCTGTACTCACCCTTGCCTTTTGCTTCTAGACCCTTAAGAAAAGGCATGTTTCTGCTGAAAGATAGTTACCACAGCGAGTTAGGAAGAATTCGGAAATTCTCATAGAAAACTGAACACTAATCAGATACTTAAAGTTTAGGGAAATAGATGTTTGTGGGAAACACAAAGGAACTTTTAGTGAACTCCAGGAGAGACACAGAAAAATCCAAGTAAGAGACGGAAGGGTCTGCAAGATTTTTTCTGAAATGGAGGGGGCGCTTTGTCATCTTGCTCAGGAGGCACCCACAAGCCGCTGTCATGACAGTGAGACTGTCCTTCAGAGGCTCCTTCAGCCAGGGTCCAATTTCAGGCAATATCTGATACATCGCAATCTAACGCCCATCCATGAATCTTTATGTTCTCTCCAAATTTGGTATAACGGTTGTTTCTACATATTCTAGAGTCATTCTGAGACACCCATAAACTGATCACGACAGCCAGAAAAAAAAGCCCAAGTCAAAGAGATTCCTGTTTTCCTAAACTAAGTCATCAACAAGTCCAGTTACCTGAGATCTCACTCATACTTCCCATCAACCAGCAAGCCAACTTCATATGTTTACAGAATAAGAATGTGACTGTGCACCTACTGGTAGACATGTTGTATAGCACATATAGGGTCAATTCATCAATAAGTATTTTTTTAACACATCCTCTGTGGTGGGCACCATCACATGCTAGAACACAGCAATGCACAAGATAGACGTGGTCATGCATTCACAGTAGTGAGGAAGACAAATCGCATAGAATATAAGTGTGGGGATGCCATTATGAGAAAAATAACAAATGACAAAAATAAAGGTTTTAGAAGTCCAAAATTAAGTGTCCTCTCCAGCATAGGACTTCCCCTCTGTGTTGTGATTCAATTCCACTCGAGTAATTTGAGTGGAGCATCCATTTTATGCTGGGCTCTGTGCACACATGTTGCCACGAGGTTTACAGATAACTTGACAAAGCATGACAAATAACCTGGAAATCACGGCAATCTAGTGCAAGGTAGAGGTTTGCACAGATGCTATGAATACATAGAAAAAGGACACTTCATCCAGTTTGGAGGTTGGGAGGCCTTCCTGGAGGCAGAGTGTGTTGGAGTTGTATCTTGAAAGCTTACTAGGCATTAGCTAGGAAAAAGGGGGCATGAAAGTTGTTCTAGAAAGAGAAAATAGCAGGTATTGAGCCAGGCATGAGGCGCACAAAGAGAGAATTTGTGCTCCTCATGCCTGTGCAATTGTTCCTGTGATATTTTTAGAACACAATTGCCTTAGAGGAGGTGGTGAAGTGGGAGAATAAACAGTGAGAGGTCCCGAAAGTAAAGGAAGAGTTTCAAGACCAAAGTCAACAGTAAGTGGCTGAGTAAGTTAAGACTCCCAAATGTCCATGGAGTCTGACAGCTAGAATAGGATGGCTGCATTGGGGGAACGCTGGGCACTAGCATTAATGGTGGGGGAGAGGTGGGCATTACATGTGGATTAAGGGTGAATGGAAGACAACCAAGTGAAGACAGAAGTAAGCAACCCCTCCAAGAACTTTTTTTTTTTTTTTTTTAAGACGGAATCTTGCTCTGTCACTAGGCTGGAGTGCAGTGGCGTGATCTTGGCTCACTGCAAACTCTGCCACCCGTGTTCAAGTGATTCTCCTGCCTCAGCCTCCTGAGTAGCTGGGACTACAGGCTCGCACCACCACACCTGGCTAATTTTTGTATTTTTAGTAGAGATGGGGTTTCACCAGGTTAGCTAGGATGGTCTCGATCTCCTGACCTCGTGATCTGCCCACCTTGGCCTCCTAAAGTGCTGGAATTACAGGAGTGAGCCACCGCGCCCGGCCCCAAGAACTTTTACTATGGGGAAAACCAAAACAACAGGGATGGGAACAGTTTTGTTTTGTTTTTTTCCTTACAAAATGACACACAGGCTTAAACATGTTTAAATGCTGAGAGAAAAGAGTCAGTGGTGAAAGAAGAGGTAGCAGAGAGCAAAACCATTTGGTAAGGATTTCCCACCTGAAAGGAGTCATGCACATCTGGAAACCTGAGTGAGGAATTCATCTTGGTGTGGCAGAAGGAAAGAAGGGGAAAAGGGTGCATGCAGATACAGATAAAAGGGGGGCAGGGGGCAGTGAAAATCAGAGAAGATTTCCAGTCTGCTGTCTATGTTCTTTATAGAGCGGGAGACGTTAATGAGCTAAGAGTGAAGTGGAAGGCAAGAGATTTCAGGCAATAGACTACTGTAATAGCTGCTATAAGGAATGAGAAATTGTTTAGGTACATGCGTAAAGATAACCCGACAGTATCAAGACTTGGCTGAGGCTGGGTCCCTGAGGCTGTGGGATATCAGTAGGCTCAGTTGTGATATCTTCTCCACCATCTCTTAGCCCTCCAAAGGTAAGAGCTGAGGTGCTAAGATTGGAGTTTGCTGGGCAAAAGCTGGAGAAAGATATAAAAGCAACAGAGGGTTTCGGTAGTGGGCTATATTTTCCAGCCTGAATAAAGAACAGATAAAGCTAGTGGTAGAACAGGGAACATTAGGGCAACTTCAGGGACCTGAAGTCTGAGCAGGTACAGTGGGGAAAAGTAATACAAGGGTTAACTAGATAGAATATTACAGGCAGAGTGGTTGAGAAATAGTATTCTCGAACAGTTAAGTTCTCAGAATGTGTTGAACACCAAGACTAGCCTCGTGAATCTGCCAGCCCCGCTGATGTAATTCCATAGAACTTGAATGTTAGTAACATAGCAGTGACTATATATATATATATTTTGTTTCCTGAGTTAATAAACTAATGAAAGATTCATCACCATCAAATCATTTTTAACTAATAGAAGCTTAACAGTGTGTGTGCATGTGTGTATGTATGTACGTGTGTGTATGTATGCACATAACACATGTGAAGAGTAGCCTATTGGAAAAAGTACTTCATTGTAAATCTGTTCTACAAATTGTGCCCTCATTTGATGCTGAAATGAGGACACAAGCAGGACAAGATCACACCGAACAGAACAAGGTCACACACTCCTGGAAAACAACTATAATCTCTCACTTGTTACACAGGTTATTAGCTCACCCTTATGACCTGTTTTGACTGCCAAAGGTGAAAGTCAGAGTAAGAGAATGCTTTTTGAGACCCAGAACCACAAATTCCAGTTTTAATTTTATTCCTGCATCACTTCTGCTGCAACTTAGACTCACGATCTTAGAAATGGAAGAGACCCCAGAAGTTGCCTTGTCTGGTGTGACTTTATGGAGGATCAGAGTGACAAGGTGACTTTCCTAACATCACACTGGCAGTTAGAGGTAGAACTAGACAGGCTCTCCAACACTTCTTTCCATCACACTTTGCCACACCCTTAAGTACTGATGTACCAGAAGTACTGCCTATCCTTTATCCTCTTCCTGAACCTAAAAATGCCTTCAATTTAAAGTCAAGACTCATGAAATAAGGAGTCCTAAGTCTCCACGTATTTGGGCATCAGCAGTTATTCCGGCATCCAACAAGCACGAAGCGTCATGTAGCAAGGACCAGACAGTGATGCCCCTGCTGTGGGACCTGAGTGGAAGCCTCTTCCTCTAGGTGATGGGCAGCCCCGTCCCTCCCACATCTCTGGCTACACTTCCTGCATATGTTCTTACCCACACAGCATCGCCATGCTATTTGGTAGCCCCAGAAGTGATTTGTGCTGGGAGTTTCCAGGCTTACTCCCAGATACCTCTTGTCACCCTCATGGTGTGACAACACAGAACCCCCAGACTGTTTCTCTTCACTTATTCTGGCCACACCCTGAACAGACACAGCAAGAAGTTCGTTTCAGGGTGTGGAAAAGCAGGCAGTGGGGCTTGGGGTAGCTGTACAGTGATCTAAAGAAGGAGGCTCTAACACAAGTAGAGACCCGTTGCAAGCCCAACCCTGGAATTCCTTTACTGCCTCTCAAACTTTAGGAAGCCAGCAAGATACCAGTTGCAGCCTCAAGGTAGCCTTGAGGCAACCTTGTCACCAAACTCTTTCATGGCAAAACATGGAAACAAATGTTGTTTGGGCCTCGCTCTTCCTAGGCATGTCTCCATGCTGTTGCAGGTCCATGTCCCATCCTGGGCCGCTTTCCCCTCCTCCTCCTTAACCACAGCATCAGGCTCATTGTTGCCCCACAAGTCATTTGCTGCTATTAATAGATCAAGTTTGTGAATAGTTTACTGTTTCAAATATAAATTATGGGGATTCAAGGTTAACCCCTATCATATCACTCTGACTCACTTGCATTCCGATACACTTCCTTGCGAGAGAGACAGAGTGGTGGTGCTAAGTAGCATGCCAGGAATGTCACACAGGCCTGGTCACACCCATGACCACACAGCCTATGTGTATGTCATTCCCAATGAGTGTTACTGAGAAGAAAAGGCTGAGGACTTCCTTCCAGAAAACAAGAAGGCAGACTTCTAATTCCGGAATTTCATTAAATCCAATCATCAGTTAGAAAAATTTCAACAAAACAAAAACAGGCACCCTCTCTGTCTTTCAGGGGCTAATAATGTAAAGAAATGGAAAGTTAAATCCAGTGATAGATACACACGAGACCATAGGCTTTCCATCATCATATCCCTTCCTTTTTAGACTAATCCTAATGTCGAAGGCTCATTTGTGCCTATCCATCATTCTTTAAGGTGGATGCTATGATTATTCCCATTTTATAGATGAGGAAACCAAAGTTCAGAACATTTAAATAATTTGCCTAGGTTCCCAAAGTTAGTAAGTTACAGAACATATCCTTCCAAAGCCCATATTTCTAACCACTGCCCTGTTCTGTCTCCCCAAAAGAAAAAGGTGACTGGGAATGAAACACACCTTGAATGTTTGAATGGGGTTCCCTTAGCCCAGAAGACCTTTCCTATACTTCTCCACTTATTAAAACCCTACACTTCCTCCAAGGCTTTGTCTCCACTCTTCTCTCTGTAAGACACCTTTCCCATCAGAACTAATGCACCTCTGTTCTCCTCCAGCAATCTGTTGAAATCTCTACTGCATCCCTTATGGTCTACCATGCATTATATTAAGCACTTGCCTGACTGCATGTGAAATTCCCTCCTTCTTCCTTTGGGGTTATGTACAAAATCTGCAGATGGGACAGGGCTATCCTAGAGACCAAAACCAAAATTTCTCTCTCATTTAGCAGGCCACATCTCAGGCCTTGGTCTACCCTCAAACAGTAGCACAGTATTTTGCACAAAGCAGGTGCTTAGTATGTGTTTGCAGAGATATAGAGGAGTTTAGCAGAGGACATTCGGCCTTTGGACTAAAAAAGACAAGGCTGAAACTTCAGAGCCCTCTCAATTTAGCTGTGTAACTTTGGACACGTTATTTAATCTCCACAAGCCTCTGTTTCCTCCTCTGTAAAAACGGAGGCAATATGTACATCACATAGTTGTTGATTAGATTAAATGAGATCCTGTATGCGCCTTGACCTGTCACCTTCCACACCAATCTTGCCTAATCTTTAACGAACTCTAAAGATATTTGTGATCATATATGTGCAAGATACTCTGAATGTTGAAGGCAAGAAAGGCATGCAAGACACTGTTCTCCCCTCCAGAAACTTATAAAGAATGAAATGATATGACATGTAAGTTGCCAACCAAGATGATAATAGAAAAGTGTCAGGAGTTGATATACAAACTCATGATCAAATAAATGGTGCCAGTAATACTAATTATAATGGGAGTGAATATGTGGGCAAAATCATTTTGTGATGGGGTGTCAGGGACTCTTTCTTGAGAAAGTGGACTCTGAGTTTGAAGGATGAATATGAGCCAGAAAACTGGTGAGGAGGAGGTAGGGCCCTTGGCCTGCTCAGGGCCCAGTTCTTGTTGGGCAGAAATGGAAGACTCAACCACCTACAGGAATGGAGTAGGGGACACACGTGAGAGAGGCAGCGGGGGCCAGGAGCAAGTGTCAGACACAGGAGTGATCAGCCTCCTGAGAATTGGCCAGCACATGCTCTGGCTAACAAACACTCAGCCCCAGCACATGGCGTCCAGGCAAGAAACTGGGACCTGTAGTTGCCAAATATTCTGATTTTTTTTCCCCTGAAAAGACAGAAATCTGGATTTCTATGCAAAATCTATTTTGAAATGTTTGTGAAAAACATTAGAAATAATCTACAGACCAAACGAAACGTGAGCACAAGCTGGATTCAACATGTCAAACACTGTTTAGGATTTCTGCCATTGGAAATGCAGGCGGAGCAGAGGGTAGAAGATAGAGCAGTTCAAGTTACTTGAACACCACGCTAAAAATTTTGGAGTTTTTTCTTACAAAAAATACAGGACCCATGAAAAAAATGCCAGCCAATATCTCTTCCATTTAGAGTCCTCAAAGGGAGGAATAATGGGAAATCACTTTCTTTACTCTAGTTTTTATCATCCCAGGCTGTCCTGATTTCTCTCCCTTAATGGTTTTGCCTAAGAAATATACTTTGCTTATCACTATGATAATGATCGTCGCCTTTGTACTTGTAAAGGCCTGAAAACTGCAGACCAGTGCCTACTTCTTAGTCAATTTAAATATTTTGGTTTTAACATTAACATCATGCCTTGGTAGGTTCATCTGTAAATGAAAAGGCTTAAACTAGATAATATTTAAGTTTCCTTCAAGTTCTAACATTTGACATGACCATCTAGACCATCTAGAAGAAATTAAGTTCTTAACTGGTGTGTACTAAAAATATAATATTTAAAAACCTAGTAGTTTCAGAGTTTTCAAAAAGCTTTGTTTTAATTTCATTAGCTCTTTTTCCATGACCCCATGAAGCTCCTATTATTATTCCCATTTTACAGAGAAGAAGGCCAAGGCTCAGGCAGGTTAAGTGACTCATGACCACGCGAGTATCAGTGGCAGAGCTGGAGTTCCTCCCCCATTCCCCAGATTCCAACTCTCCATTCTATACCCAGCAAGTCTCTGGACACTGGACCCTCAAAAAGAAGTAAGGCTGAGATATGTTAAGTCCCCCAACATTGTTATGGGGGACAGTCTGTTTTCTGAGGAGCATTTTATGTATCTTTTAGAAACAGCCTGAGATCCTTTCTGGATGCAGTGTGAATGGTGAGGGGGTACATGGGAGAGACCCGGTCTGTCCTTACCTTATTCGGTGATGAAGGTTTGTTTGGAAGCAGTGTGAATGGGGAGGAGGTACATGGGGGAGACCCGGTCTGTCCTTACCTTATTCAGTAGGCAATCTTCTAAGCCTCCCACAGTAAGGGATTTCATGGCTTCTTGGTCAGTCCTGAGTAGAACAGCAACTTCCTGGTTTTTTGTTTTTGTTTTTTTTTGTTTTTTTTTTTTCTCAATGGAGTGCAACACTTGTGAGTAAACAGCACTCCCAGTAACGTGAGTCTCTGGGTACTAAATTTTTCTGGAAGTGTGTAATGGACCAGAGACTTGCCTTCCAAATCCTTCACTCATGTTTTTATTTCCAAATTGTGAAAATCCATCTGTCATCTTTTGGGAAATTAAAAAAAAAGAATTTAGAAAGAAGAGTTGATAAAATTGAATTTGAGTCCAACCTAATTATACCTTATTTAGCTACACTGACTGGTTCTTTGACCAGAGAGCAATTTTCCAAATTGTATTTCCCACCCAAGTACTTAAAAGTTCCACCCAAGTCAGAAATACCCTGTAGTTGGTTTCTCCTCACCTTTTTTGCTCCTATCCCGACACTAGATGCACTGTGGAACTCAGTATCTTATATCTCCTCGTCCTTATCCTGTTGACAGTAAACACTCCTTGCTCTCCAATCCAGAAAATCCCACAGACTGATTTACCTTCTTTACAATAAACAAATAGGAAACTGCCCAACAACCAGCCTGGCACCCATCATTATGCCCACAAACAAGTGATCAGGTCTTGTCAGTCAGAGCAGAGACAACGGTTGGCATTTAGAAAAGCATGCACACATGTACATACACGTACACACAGGCACACACACGTACACAGAGTGCACACAGGCACACACCCACAGGAATGGCTGGTCAGGAATCCTTCTGCTCACCTGCTGACCTTTCAACGTAATTTCCCTCTTCCAACTCGAAAGCTGGCAGTAAAAATAAAGTCAGTGTAAACAGATCCCTTGAGAGTCGAGGGAACACTCACGTCTGGTTTTGCCAGCAAAACTTAAGTTGGAAAACAGCTCAGGCAGTAAATTCCCCGCTGGGCTGGCCGGGGCTAGTTTTACTACAGAAAAAAAAAAAAAAAAAAAAAAAAAAAAAAAAAAAAAAAATTTCACAATGGTCTGATCTCCTTGAAGCTGGTAAACATCACAGAGTCTGCTATCAGATAATCTAAAGAAATTGCAGTCCTTCTGGGAGCACTGCTCACTTTTGAGCAATGTTCCAAAGGCAAGTGTTTCCAAGCCCACCTGTAAGTGCTGCCCACAAGGGCCACTCTACTATCTGGGGCCCCAGCACTTACATATCTTCCCATACTCTGCCCCAAGCAAAAGCCACATCAGAGCTCCCTAGCTGCTCTGTGCCCCACCCATGTCATTAGTTCCAGCTTTCAGTCCAGCTTCTACAGAACTCCTGCCAATGCACAGCCTGATATAAATACTGTAAAGCTACATCCTCTCCAATGATCCACCGATAGCACCTCTCAAAACAGCTTCGATTTTCCATTTGCTTCTATATGGAATTCTAAATCTCCTTCTTTTGATATTAAGTGCTCCCAAATTTTTCAGAATCTTATTCCCTGGGCTTTTCTTATCATAGTAGTGCCAAACTATTTGTGTTTCACAGACGGCAAGAATTCTCTCTCCACCTCATTTTCAACATCACCGAAGTCCCACTGTTTCTCTCATGTGCTCATTTTTGTTGTTACTTCTGCTTTCACTGTAATCATTAACTTGTGAGTCCCTCTCCTCCAGTAGGGTCTTTTCTAATGTTTGAGGGTTACCCCAGACACTTGTCATCAGATGCACAAACTTTCATCATTTTTGTACCTGTGACTGCCCTATCTTGATTGCTCCAGTACTGCAGCTAATCAAAATGTTATAACTGGGATATTCTCTTGCCCTAAGATCCAGCGACAATTGCCAGATGTGAGCAGGGAAAGCAGCCAACAGGGCCAACTGAGCAATTGGGAAATGAAGAAATAATCACGTGCTCAGGAAAGCTACACAGTCCAATTTTACCGGGATGTCATATCCAGGGAATAGGTGTGTTGTGGGAGCACGACTCAGTTCCCTACTCCATGATATAGTTCCTTATGGACAAATGCTCTGAAATACAGGGCAGTCCCACAAATACAGACTCTCTGACAGCTCCTGTCTGACAGTTTGATGAAGGCAAGCTTTTTTTAGATGTATATATCTGAGTAATTGGATATAGGATCCGCAAAAAGGGATTGAATTACAGTAAGCCTAAGGCACTTGTATGCTAGGCCACTGAGGAAATTCAGAGTTAGCTCAAGTTCTCTTCCTTCCTCAGGAAACAAGTATTCTCCTTTCTCATGACTCACACCAAATGCAAGTACGGAAATGTAAATCTGCTTTGGCTCAGTTTCCATTGTGAAGACTAAGAACTTATTACAAGTTAGGTTAACAAGGTATTCAAAACCCTACGTTGTCAATCTGAGAAGTCCCGGGGAGATAATGCTAGCCCTGGTTTACCAGCAGAAGTGTTTGTTACTGATTTACTTAGTGTCTGAGATTTTAATTGCAAGAAAGAGGAAGGTTAGTTTGATCCAAATCAACCTTACACATGCAAATTTGTTAAAGTTAGCCAGGGTTACAAACTCTGATTTTTTAAAAGATTTCCTGTAATCCCAGGATGACTCAGATTAAATCTGACAATGCAGAATACCAGACAGAGATAATCATCTGTGATGTGATGAAGTCCACAGTAGTGAACAACCTGAGGCAAGGGCCAGTCTATTCTATATTTCCAGGGAAGCCTCAGGACCTAACACACAACTGACCCTCAATAAGCGTTACTGAATGTTTATTTGTTTGCATTAAACATTATGCAAAATGACATTATTAGAATGTCAGTAAATAAAATATAATATTTTAAGGTACGTAAAATCACCTTACAGATTATAAATTTAATTATATACATGCATCTGTGACTGCTTAAATTATCTTCTTTTATAGAAAGGCCCGATGTAAAAAAATTTAGTATAGTACTTGGCACATGATAAGAGCTCAATAAATATTTGTGTTTATACTCCATTTTACTCCCTGAGGAAAAAGATCTTTTTTTTTTTTTTTTAGTGTTGTTTGGTTTTGTTGTTTGTTTTTAAATTTTTATTCCAATAGCTTTTCGCATACAAGTGGTTTCTGGTTATGCGGATGAATTGTATAGTACTAAAGTCTGAGATTTTGGTGCATTCATCACCCAAGTAGTGTACATTGTACCCAATATGTAGTTTCTTATTTCTTAGTCCCCTCCCAGGTCCCCCTTCTGAGTCTCCAAAGTCCATTATACCACTTTGTTTGCCTTTGTAGACCCATAGCTTAGCTCTCAGCTATAAGTGAGAATATAAGGAATTTGATTTTTCCATTCCTGAGTGACCTCACTTAAAATAGTGGCCCCCAGCTCCATCCAAATTGCTGCAAGAGACATAATTTTATTATTTTCATGACTGAGTAGTATTCCATGGTGTATACGTACCACATTTTCTTTATCCATTCATTGGTCGATGGACAATTAGGTTGGTTCCATATGAAAGATCCTTCTTTTAATGTATGTGAGTAATTCTCCTGGTCTTACCTGGTGGGTAGGATTGTTCACTGGGTTGGTCTTCACAGCTCCATCAAAAATCTGGTCTTTCACGTCTGACATGGTAACTGAGATAGTTTGAATTTGATCTTTGGTCTGGGTTCAGAGGTAGGGAACCCAAATACAAATGACTATATAAGCCAGGTGGGTAATAAAATTAATCAGGATAGAGTGGAATAATGGAAAGGGATGGGGGTCTGTGGTGGATGCAAGAGTACATAACTTATCTGGGATATTCTAACTTGTTTGGGTTATTTGTTTGTTTAATTTGTTTGTCTTTTTAAAGCAACACTGTACTATGCACAAGATTCCCCCCTGCACTCTGCACTCCTACAATACTAAAATAGTAACAGTTCCCTGAAAGACTCCTCCCTCACCATCTTCTCTGAACTCTTGCACCAACAATGCTCACTGCTTGGACTCTCCCCTTACCTTCCACCCCTTCACTGGACTTCTATTTTTTTTCTCCAAGATTTATCTTAGCTGTCACCTGCTCCAGGGCCTTCTCTGATTCTCAAGACTGAGTGGGGGACTCTATACGATGCTCCTGGGCCTCCCAGTGCTAAACTCCTACTTTAGCTCTTATCAAACTGCATTTTGCTACTTTGCTTGTATCTAGCTCCTGTGGTACCAAAAGCTCCTTGAAGGAAAAGATTTACCTTGCTGGAAACAGTATTGGACATATAGCAACTGCTTAATAAATGAATGAATGCATGCATGAATTAATGACTAAATGACAGTGAACCATTTTCTTATTCTACAATCTAATCCCATTCTATCTCCCATCTGCAGGCATAAGATAAAGTGAGAAAAGTAAAGTTAAATAATGAGTAAGCTCCCATTAGTTCATTTGGTAACACAACAAAAGTAGAAAAGGGATAAGGAAATTTTCCTTGCAAAGATGGATTTCAACTCGGAAAGTGCAAAACAGGTAAGATGTTGTGTACCTGAAGGAAGCCACTATTCACAGCCAAAAGGTGTCAGGAATGCTGAAAAACTACCCAATAATTACAACATGCCGTGTAGAACTTAGAAGCAAAAACTCATGTCTTTGTAAAAGTCATGGCTCCATCTGGCCATTTCAATTAAAAGTACATTATTTCCTAGCTGCAATTATTATCACAATACATACAGAAAGGACTAGTTCCCCAACATTAGACTGAAGGAGGAAAATAAAAGTTTATTTAACACCAACAATTCTACCACTGTAGAGCCTTGTGGTCAACAAGAAAGAATGAGAAGTAACCAGTGCTGTCAACTCCAGCTCTCTATGCAGCAAAGATGACCTGTTCTAGTTACAAAATCATACATCATAAAAGATCCTGGTTTGGGCTGGGTGCGGTGGCTCATGCCTGTAATCCCAGCACTTTGGGAGGCCAAGGTGGGTGGATCACGAAGTCAGGAGTTCAAGGCCAGCCTGACCAACATGGTGAAACCCCATTTCTACTAAAAATACAAAAATTCCCTGGGCGTGGTGGCATGCGCCTGTAATCCCAGCTACTCAGGAGGCTGAGGTAGGAGAATTGCTTGAACCCAGGAGGTGGAGGTTGCAGTGAGCTGAGATTATGCCACTGCACTCCAGCCTGGGTGACAGAGCGAGACCCTGTCTAAAAAAATAAAAAATAAAAAAATACATAAATAAATAAAAAATTCCGGTTTGGGCTGGGGGAAGGGAGACTGTATCTGTTTCCATCTCTCCGCATGTCCATCCATCTATATTTTTAT